GGTGCAATGTTGCGAAAGCGCGTTCTTTCACAGTTGGCCAGGCGCGCCGTGCTTTACAGGCGCGCCTGGCCAACTGTAATTAAAGAATCCAGTAATCATGAATCTCAATTTATGATTACTTGATTAGACAAGGCGAACAGAAAGGTAGGTCTTAAAATTAGTCAACCGAAAACGAAAGTGATGTACGACAACCTCGGGAGAGAACAGCGCTTCGAAATAGGTAGCAGTGCACTTGAAGCTGCAAAATAGTACGTCTACTTAGAACAAGTGGCCGCCGCGGAGGTGATTCATGAGATTGAAGTAACTAGAAGAGTGAGGTGGAGCACATTTGGCAAGCTTTCTTAATTCACGACTGCTAGATTGCCACCATTCCTCAAGAGGAAAGCATATAACTGCTGCATCTTACCGGTACTTACCTACGGAGCAAAAACGTAGAGGATTACAAAGAGGGTTGAAAGTAAGCTGAGGACGACGCAGAGAGCATGTAAAGGAAAATGATGCGTGTAACCCTAACAGAAAAGAAGAGAGCACAGTAGGTTAGGGAACAAACTGGTGGTAAGGATGTGATAACCGACATCAAGATGAAGAAACTGTCATGGGCAAGGCACGTGGCATGAAGGCAAGATAACCGCTGGCCATTAAAACTCACAGATTCGATTCCAAGAGAAGGCAAGCGGGTGAAGGGGGGACATAAAGTTAGGTGGGAAAATGAGATTAGGAAGTCCGCGGGTAGAAAGTGGCAGCAGCAAGCACACGACCGAGTTCACTGGCGGAACATGAGAGAGGCCTTTGTACTGCATTGGGCGTAGTCAGGCTGATGATACTGATGATAATTATGATGATGGTGAAAACGATGATGGTATACCCTGTAAAGTGGATTGTGACGTGACCGCAACTGTAGCTTGGACGCGTAGATCGAAAATCGCCGGGTCGTTTCCTAGTTGCGGGAAGAAATTTTTTCGCACAGCTTATTTTCCATAAGTACTGCTGACTGGGCGACTTGGTGCATGATAAATTGATATTGTTTTAGCGCAGGTCAGTTTGAGCGTGAAGGAAAGATGCTATGCAGTAAAGAAGGGGAAAAAAAGATGACAGTGTGAGCGCTAACTTTTAACTTTTGTTTATTGCGTGCCCCTACAGCACATTATATAGCTTGACGAACCCCTACACGTAGGACACGGCACACCATCAAAGAAACCTAGTTGTGATCTGATTACAAATTAAGAATTTTGTCATGTTGTGGTGTTCTTAGAGCACTGTCGTCTGTTTTACCCCTTTTTTACTGCATAGTGTTTACTTCACGCTCAAACTGAGCTGTGCTAAAGCAATATTTTATCATTCACCAACTCTCCCAGTCGGCAATACTTGTTGATTTTATTTCTAGTTCAACGGGCCCTTTTCCTACCTACCGTCAAGACCCTTACTGCATCGTGTTGCTTATCGCCGCTTTAGTTTGCAAAGCTCGTTCACTGGGCTTCTGTGAAAAATTGTTCGTTACGAAGTGGGCGTGCTCTTTTGTGGCTTTGCACCTGCGGCGGAGCACATCGCAAAGGTGTGAAAAATCCTGAAATCGGAGCTTCGCAGACACGCGAGACTATATCGGCAACTTCTCTTCACGTGGTTACGCATAGAAACGGATCCCTCATTGTTGGACATAAACCTGCGCACATTTTCACGCCTGATCGCCCAGAAGACAGAAGCTGAGTGGCAGGTCTGCTTGAGACAGCTCAAGAGCCGTCTTCCTAAAAAGTTCTCGAATGCAGCGACCATGTGCACGCTGACGGAGCAGGTTAATCTTCCGGGCTACATTCATGACGCTTTATCATTGGGTCTCAAGTTCGCTGTGGAAACCAACAGAAGACCCGAAGAACCGTTGACTTTCGTGAGGCAGGTGCCAAATTATGCGACAGAGGAAGCAGTTCCACGTTTTATTTGTGAGGGTGTTCACATGGTGGCCCACCTTAAGGTATCAGGTCTGAAACTCTCGGTTAAGCGCGTCGCTGACTACCTGACGCACAATTCTCTAAGTGTGCTACCAGCCAATAAGGAATGTGGCTTCTGTGTGCTTCCTACGGCGGTGTTTTATGAAAAAGCTAACAGTGCCGTTGCCACAGTCTTCAAGTGGTGCGATAACGTATCACTAAGCAGGGTAAAATCCTCAGCTATTAAGCTATGCAAGAACTTCAGCCTTGGTAAATTAGAGAAGTCATTGTCAAACAGCAAAAGGAACCACCTGTCGGTTCAATTCAACGCAAAAACCCATCAAGTTGACGTTACCCTACGGGTTAATGTGTCAGAATACGACTCCTGGCAGGAGCCAGTAGCACTGTTTTTACAAGCCAAGCTTAACTGTTTGTGAATAAAAGACCCCTTCCTGATAAGGAACTAGGAGGAAATAAATTTTTTTTAACTAATGCTGGCAAGGGTTACCAAGCATTTTCCATTGACATCAAAGATCTTTTTTTACTCGATTCCTTATAGAGAACTGCTCGAAGTAGGGGAACAGTCCATTGAATAATAAGTTCCATAAGGTTCAAGAATGACGCTTCGATATCTAGTCATTTTTTACCGCTTTTACATCTTTATTTCGTGTCAACTTTTATCAAACAGGAGGACGCTGTTTATCCATAGAAAACGGGGGTATGCATAGAATCATGCATTGCACCCGTACTGAGCGATCTTTTTCTCACCCATCTTCATATTTTGCTGTCTGATAAGTTCGCTCAGAAGATGTTGCGAAAGGTTTTTCGGTGTGTGGACAATTTCTTGTTCCTTATTGACTGTTCTTCAGTTGAGATTGAGCCGCAGGGTGCAGAAATTTTGCCAATAATTAGGGAGTGTCTTGTGCTACTTGAAGTAAAGTACGAAATGCTGCAAGAAGGCACAATCCGCTTTCTTGACCTTCGTCTCTCTTGTTCGTTTGAACACACTAGCTGGTGCTATGAACCGTGGTCTAAAAAGCCTTTCTTGCAGTACAATTCAGCGCATTTAAAGCTAATAACGCGAGGGATTGCCAGGTTATGTTTTAGAAATGCCCTGTTGAATTCGTGCCGTCACACAATGGCCGCTAGTTTTGCAAGACAAAGCAAGCGATTATCCTTGGCAGGCTACCCAGTGTTGGTGCAGGTGTCGGTATCTGAGTGCCTGTTGAATGGTCCACGTATGCGGGGACGACCGCAGACCAATGGTGAGCCCGATTCTGAGAAAACCAGTGTGATTCCGTACGTACATCAGATTTCACACCATTTGAAAAAAATAGCCCCGAGAGGAAATGTCCGCGTGGTGTTCTCTGCTCCAGACAAATTAAGCCGTCTATGTAAGCTTACGAACACCCCAAAAAGGAGGTGCAACCCACCTGTGGAAATAAGCATGTAACTAAGTTTTTTGAATGCGCCCTAGCTGTTGTGTACATGTTCTTGCTGTCGTGTGGCGCGGTTTACATAGGAGAGACTGGTAGGTGTGTTAATGACCGCTTGCGCGAGCACTCTTGTAATGTAAAAAACAAGCTTTCTTTCGGTGGTCTCCTGGCTGTGCATTGTAAGACATGTGGGTGCACTCCATTCTTTGATCAGTATGTCATCTTGGGCCACAACCGTAACAAGTTGACAAGGAAAGTTATTGAGGTGAACGCTATTGCAAAATGTGCGAAGCTGTGTGTGAGTACGCCGTCTGTGGCCTTATCTCCAAAATAGCTCAATTTTCTATAGCGCGTGCAGTGAAGCATTGGTATAAAATTGTTAATTTGTAATGAGACCACAACTATGTTTTCCTGATAGTGTGCTGTGTCACAAGTGTATGGTTTTTTTCATGTGTATGATGTCACGTGAAATGAGCTATATAATGTGTTGTAAGGGTGCTCAATAAACAAAAGTTGAAAGTTAGCGCTCACACTGTCGTCTGTTTTTTTTTTTTCCTCCTTGACTGCATAGTATCTTTCCTTCACGCTCAAACTGAGCTGCCCTAAAACAATATCAGTTTAGTTTCGCCAGATTTACACCATAAATATTACAAATACCATCCCATATACTTTTCTTAGTGTTCATGTCTGTTAGTTGTTATTAATATAGTGTATAACAAAGGCAAACAAGCCCGCAAATATCGTCCTTTCGATACACTCATAGCGAAGGGGATTGGAGTGTTTTACAGCGAAACTGTTATGAGATCACAAGAGAAGTGCGTCTAGCATTGCATCTAAAAACTTGTTTTAAGCTTAAGTAATGTTTTGGTCTTAGGTAATGAATAGATTCCCGCAGTGAGTCGTGGGGCTAAAATAGTCGTCCACCGGATAATTCAATGAAGTTTTTTCTCTCTGTCTGTCTGATTTTCATTACACGTGCTTGTGCATATTTCTTTCGGTCACTGTAGCACCTATTCTCCATTATTGATAATCTTGAATGTAGTGCTGATTTCATTATATGGCCTTATACATGTTTATTTTGACGCTTTTTTGTTTTTTCTTGTGAAAGCATGTACATATTGTCACGACGCAGACACAGCAGGAGTTCGATATAGAAGAGCTCACTTTAATTAAAAATGAAAGGCGCTCGTAAAGAGGACCGGGCAAGAGCTTCGTCTTCTTCTCTGGCTGTGCGAGCTCTCCTCTGCAGGTTGAATGCGGCAATATTTAACCAAAATTATTCTTGTTTGTTTGCCATTTTGTAAATTCAGCTAATGTACATAACCTCTGTTAAAACCTTATGTGAAGGTTGTAGCATTCAAGAACAGATCTAATATTTACATATGTCTAGAAATAAATAAATAAATGTATGCTGACAAGGTAGTTGTGGTCTGTGGTCATTTAAGTACTAGTCCTTCAAAATGTTTTTCAGATTTCTACCAAGTTGCCTGAACATATAAAGCGAGAGCTTCTCTGCATAAAGAAGATTCGGCAAAGCTGATTTTACGCTTAATTTGATCTGAACGTGCAGTATCGTTCGAATTGACGTGATCACAATCGCGAAAGGCTCTCTTTTATAAAACATCTCGACTTTCTTATGCAGGTGCTGCTTTTGATTTCTACGGGTCTCTGCCTCACCAAAGGCTATTATGCGTTGGGAAACTTCAGGGAGAGCCAGTGCGTAACCACTTACGCCCTCCGCAAAGCGGTGCCAGATTACGCTATGGCGCTGTCACTGGTAAGTAACGGAGTGTTGCAGCGTGTCTCTTGAGCGTGAACGTTTGGTATATATCCGCACAGGCTTCTTTACAATTGAGAAATTTGCTCTTTTCACATCGATAGCAAAAATAGGCGCGTCATTACGATGGTGCATACGACCACATTACGGCGGAGCCAGCAGGACTTCAGAATCCGCAATTTTTTTTTCGATTGCAATTTTACGGACACTTTAGGCGCATTTGTACTGACTGCATAGCCATCATGCTTCTTCTGAAAGCCAAATTCATAACATTTCCCCTAAACAACGTGTGCTCTTCGTTAGAAAAAAAAGATGCAAGCGCTGGAGGTGAGTATGGCTGAAGCAGAAATAAATCTAGTTGGTCATCTCCGTCACACGATGAGCTCATGCGATTAGATGCGCCTCGTGCTAGGCCTAAAGTCGATGGCTCTCAAAGTGCTCTCAGCGCTTCTAACCGATGTGACAGACAGCACGGCGCCAACTTCGCTCTCTGGAGCGACCAAACTCACTTAAACTAGCGTCTCGCACAGTTTGAGAGATTGGATTTAAGAAAAAAGTTAGTTGCTGTCCTTGCTTCGTACAATATTCTATTCTGTTACTGTTATCTTCCGTTGATTGCATCACCTTTGCGGCAAAACTGTTATTTCACCCTTTCTCATTATCAATAGCACTAACGCAGCATTCTTTCGGCTTTTTGAATAATTTTAACATATGTGATAATTTGCCTTAATTTGTGTGCCATTGCGGTTGCAAGCATGTCTTGTGGCTTTTGGTTCTAGGATCGCAAATTTGTTTTTTAAGCTGCAGATACTTCTTAAAAAGTTCTTAGTACATTCGTTTGAGAAAAAGAACGAGTATAATAGGTGTTACTTGTGTTTCCTTATCTTGAAAACTGGCACTCGCCACTTTCCTTCCAAGAGTACTACGCCACATTGATAACACGCATGCCATTCGGTACATAGAGATTCCTAATAATGCACTCTAGGCATCACAGCGCTAGTGTCTATGGGAGCTCCAACGCGTGGTGTTTCCTCCATCTTGAGAATGATAGGTAGTACATGGATTTGCCTAAGCTTATTATTTTTTGGCTCCCTTTAGCTCCATGTGGCCTGCAGCCCATTTGTCGCAGTAGGAACTGCAGCAAAAGTTCATCAGCGTCACTCAAATACCTTCACGTTTTGTCTTGTTAGCTTCAACAATCATTCTTGTATCTTAAACAAAAACAAGCACACAGTATACTGTGTGCTTGTTGCATTGTATAATATAATATACAATGCCACAAGTGCCTTCGAAGCGGCAGTCACGAAGATAACCAAATCCATGAACTACCTACCATCATCACCATACTGGCTTATCGATCGCAGTACCACAGTCCCCTGCAGAAAATTTCACAGAAAACTCTATTCTTTGTAACAAGACAATTCCCGGCTCGCGGAGATATTTGAAGGAACGTTTTTCAATGCACATTAAAATTATCTTTGCAGAGCAAAACTTCCTTTTAGTCGTTATTTTCATAAAGTGTAGTTGTCGCTTCGACAAAGCGTTAACTTACATAGTTATAGATAGGTTAATGTACGTGTGCTCCAGACAAGCTGGAAGCAGTAAAAAGTGAGCGACAGAGAAACTTATAAATTTGTTTTAAATGCGAAGCATTTCTTAGCGAACTTTGACTTTGAGTCTATCTATCTATCTATCTATCTATCTATCTATCTATCTATCTATCTATCTATCTATCTATCTATCTATCTATCTATCTATCTATCTATCTATCTATCTATCTATCTATCTATCTATCTATCTATCTATCTATCTATCTATCTATCTATCTATCTATCTATCTATCTATCTATCTATCTATCTATCTATCTATCTATCTATCTATCTATCTATCTATCTATCTAGCCGCCTACGACTTTTAGCTCTCCTGGCCGTTTCGATAATGGTACCGGTACCAAACTTTGTATGGCATTACATGACTGTATGAAGAACATATTTGACTAGTGATAACATGAAAATCAAGATATGGATGTCACGAATGTCATGATTTACATTTCATGGTCTTGCAGCTCTTGCGGCGGTTTCGTTCCCATGGCATGTTGCAAAACTGGTGTGGTATGACATGACTGCATGGCGAACACAAGCCACAGATCCTAACACGGAAATAATAACATGCGTGTCATGTAACAACATGACTACATGCCAAGCTCATGATGCGCTCGCGGCTGTTTCGCTAGCGTCACATATATGAAATTTGGTATTACGGTACGTGAATGGATGACGAAGGCATGTGACTGGTGCAAACATGATAATCATAAGATGCGTGCCATGTAACAACATGACTACATGCCACACTCATGAGGTGCTTACCGCCATTTCGCTAGCTTAACACATGCCGAATTTGGTATTACGTGACGTCAATGGATGACGAAGGTATGTAATTGGTGCAAACATAATCATGAGATGTGTGTAATGTGAGAACATGACCACATGGCAAAGTGAAGGCGCCAATACATTTTGACGTGATTCGGTGCGCGTGCTCGCCGGCGTTCATTTCGACACGTCACGCCGGCGTTGAGACGCCGGGCGCCAGTCCTGCCATATACTCACTCACAGGCACGCCTCGCGCTGCATTGCTTTGACGCATGCGCGTTTGAGCGCGTCCAGCGTCCCTCCGTCCCAAAAAGATGGAGACGCAGTGTTATCTAAGTAATGTACCGGCTCGAAATGCAGCATGTCGCATTTCACACCGGTAGCCATCAGGCCGTGCTGACGGACGCTGGTCGCGCCGGTCGGGCCTGGCGTCAGACTACAGGGTGCTCGCATTTTGCTAACGTAGCCTCGCCGTGCCCAGCGTGCGCGCGCGTCAACGCTACATTGGAGTATATCGGGCCCTTCATGATGCACCCGCGGTCGTTTCGCTAGCTCCACATATACCAAATTTCGTGTTAGGTGACGTCAATGGGTGACGAAATGTATGAATGGCGCAAACATGATAATCCTGACACGCGTGTAATGTAAGGACATGACAACATACCACGCTCATAGCGTGCTCGCGGTCGTTTCGCTAGCTCCACATAGTTTGGTATCACGTGACGTGAATAGATAACTAAGGTAAACGACGCGTCCAAACATGATAATCATGACACGGAAGTCATGTACAGCATCATTTACCTCCATCTCGTAACGTTGTGCATGATTTCAAAGTGACATATCAACCTTTCTCATTCGTGCTTCGCAAATCATCGATTACCACTGTACGTGGGATCTGCCTTTTTTTTTATTCTCCTTAAGAGGACGGTGCGTACCGGGAATCATCGAGTATCCGAGTTATTCCAGCTAGCTCTGTTAATATTCAGTTCGTATGACATTCTTAGACCAAAACGCGTATGCATTGAAAACTGAGGCATTCATTACGGCCAAGAATGTGAACAGGACGGAAGTTGAGAATATTATCGTCACAAATAATGGTTTGTTTATTTTACTCTTGCAAGATAACGGAACTCCTTTTATTTTTATAGAGCTTTCCTTAGTTTATTGAAGGTCATTGTCACGGATGAATCGTACTGTAATTACAATTAGTGATGAGGTGGTCCGCATTGTTGTAGCCTGATGATTTGTCATTTCTACACTTACTCACGACTGTAACACATGTTTAATCATAGTCATTCGGGCTTTACACTTCAAAAACCTCATATGATTATGAGAGATGCTGTAGAGGAGGGCTTCCGAAATTGCGATTAGCTTGGTTGTTTGCCATGCACCTAAATCTAAACGCACAGACGTCTAGCATCCCATGTTCTTCAAAATGCGGCACCCGCGGCCGCGATTCGATTGCGTGACTATCGTGTCACCAATCAAGCACAATAGCCTTTACAACACTGTGCATGGCGGATTAGCTAAAGCTCCACTCATCTTTTTTGTCGTGCGTTCTTCGTTTTACGCTGTGTGCTGCAAAAAAAGAATTAATCATATAGTTGATAAAACCATTCTTTTCAAATGTAAAATAGGTTGTGGCCTTTTTCTGTCTTTGATTGACTCGACAGGTTGTTCTCGTGTGCATTTTATGGAAGCGGCATCGGCGATGTCTTCCGCCATCGGCGTTCGCAGTCACTTTGTTGGGAGTGATGTTCACGGGCTGCGCGCTTGACGCCTTCCTCAAGTTCAACACTGCATTCAGTGAGCAGGTTGGTTCTCTTACGCCAATGTACTTTTTTCCCTATCGTTTGCGTAAAAAGACAGACATGTTAAAGAGACCCTTTCGTTGTTAACCCAATCATGTTTTGCTGACAGTGGCTGCCGCTGCCTTTTCTAATAAATCGAACCTAGGAACGTTTGTCAAACTTGCTGCCTGAACGAAGAATTGAACTGGGCTCGGAGATCTCCGAAACAACAGCGTGATTGTCCTAACAACAGGGTACCACTACAGCGCGCTGCCTAAAGAAGAACCCTCTCATTGTCTTTCAGTTGCGTTGTTATAGTATCGGGGGATGTTATGTACAACTCAACAGTCCTAAGACTGTTCATTAATTATTCTGCGGAGGATAACCTCAGGCTAGTCATTCCTGATGAGGAAAAGACTGTATGGTACCGGACTGCATGTTCTCAGAAAAGCCGCTAAGAGCCAGAAAACAAACTGTATGGTAGAACGGACATCATCGGTAGTTAGGCAACGCGCTGTTGACCATTCGATAACATGATAACATATACTCTTGGGAAAATAGCTCGTATAGTTAGAAGCGCTAAATTAGTCACTTTATAATAAATAATTTATTGCAATAGGAATGATATGTTACCTCTGGGCGGATATCTGTCGTTACCTTGCCGCCATAGCTCCCTATATATATATATATATATATATATATATATATATATATATATATATATATATATATATATATATATATATATATATATATATATATATATATATATATATATATATATATATATATATATAAACGCACAAAGAAAACTGAATCTAACGGAAAAATTCCAAAGAATCCGAACGAGCATGCGAACCAGCCGCCACGCGCTGCATTAAACGACTCAACCACACACCATGCATACATCGGCACAGTAACGGTGAGCTATTCATACACACTACTGAACGCTGCCGTCACGCAGGTGTCGAACGAGCTTCAGCGTGTTTTCTCTCACGCAACGCTCCTACATTGTATTTCTATTTTAAAACTGCCCTTCAGACATACCCCTTTCTGTACCCACCCGTCATTTGAAACGAAAAAAAAAGCAGGGCACACTTGGAAGATTCCGGTACATCGCATGGGGCAGTTATCTCACCACTATTATGCTATGTAAAATTAGCGGATCTTCCTAGAGAACTCAACAAAATACCCGGGCGTATGCGCAGATGACGTTCCTATATGAACGAACACCGGCAACATGAGACAGATGTAAGAAGTGCTTCCATCTGTTCCATGCTGCTGGATGCTCTGGATACTATAAAATGCATCGGTCGAACATGCGGGCTTCGCTGGTTTCCCTCTCCTCAAACAAGAATCGCTATTATATAGGCAACGCGGCAACCGCATTCTTTTGAATATGCAACTTGATCAATCATCGGTGAAAGAAGTGGAAACCATCTGCGTCCTCGCAGCCTACATTAATAATCAGGACAAGAAAAAGATAGCAATTGAGAAGCTCCGTACTACCTGTACCATTAAATAGCGAATGATATCAATGTGCTTTCGGTCTACCAGTCAGCGCTACGAGAGAGAAATTTCAGAAAGTGGGGATAAACCACACCGTGAAAAAACATATTAAGACGCACCTTTTTGCCCAGAAAATGGACTAATGCTGACATCAACGGACAGCTACACGTTGCAGAATTTGGGCATGAGGGATGCTTGCGGAGAAATCAACAGCGAGGAACACATACCGAAGGAGATTCGCAAGATAATTGAAATCAGCCGAATACCTATAAACATGCATCCAAAACTACATAACGCCCGAAAAAAGCCAGACAAGAAGCACACGAGAAAAAACTTCAAGGCGACAACTGATGTATTGTATGTATACGCGATCACATAAAGAGAACACTCCGGGGCAGTTGTAAGCGTTGTTGAGCTTAGCCAATTCAACAGCGCTTCGATTAGAAGCAGCAACATCCTCGAGGCTGACGAAGTAGCTGTCGCACTCGCCATCAGGCACCAGACCAGAGCTGCGAGTCTACTGCAGAAAATGTCACTGACTAGCAAGAAGCGTGTAGACAGTACAGCAGTAGCCGTATATTCACTGCCAGCCGCATACACAGGGGAAGAAAAATCGCCTTCTCGAGCTGCTCCATTACGTGGACACCAGGCCATGAAACTGTGACAGGGAATCAGCGTGCCGACGCCATTGCCCGAGAATACGCCGATCGGGGGGGGGGAGGGGGCGCACAGTGACAAGGAACCAGGCACAGTTACTAGACGCTATGGAGCGATTTCAGAATACCAGAGAGCCCAGAGGAGGATATACCCCCTCCTCACAAAGACCTCAGCAGAGAGCAGTCGGTTGCCTGGAGACAGCTGCATACTAACACGTACCCCGATCTCAATATTTGCAGCAAAATCTATCCAGGCAATACATACCAACAAATTTGAGCTACATGGAGAACAGCCAATATTGTTACGGGGAATAAGGTATACACTGGCGAGCAAATGCGTACTGGCGAATATACTGGCGAGCTAATGCGTACGACGCTGCTGCAGTCCGAGCACGTTCACGTTCAGCACTTCGTCGTCGTCATCCTCAGGCATCTACTTAGCCCATGACAATATTATATCACGTGGCGTGGGCCCGCCACCACTCACGGGTGGTGTCAAGAAACTGCACACCAATAATAGGGTAGTGGGAGGCTGCGCTGTTCTGCTGGAAGCCAGAACAACTCGAGCTGATCAACAGGGCTTGCAAGACGGCAAAGCCCTCATGTAAAAGTCCTATACTAAGGGCTACACCTTCGCGAGAAATATTTATTTGAAATAAAATTGCATTCATTCATTCATTCATTCATTCATTTCACTTTACGGTAGGAACATGGAACAGCTTGGTATGTGAAGAGACCACAAAAATTTATGTTTTGGGGTGATGGATATGTTGCTATTCTTTTTCCCTAACTGCCAAAGAAAAGCGGCTTTACTTTGAGTTCTGTGACGCACAGAAATAATCCTTTCACATTCCTTCGTTACCTTGTATGGCTTCTGAGTCATGTTTGTGCAATTATCAAATTTTTAGCAAATGGCTCAACTTAATTGCATAATTTACTCCAAATGATTCTCCTATGCTTTCACAAGTAAACTCCTGGATTGCTCAAGCATTTTCTTATGAATATTTGACGTACTGTGGGCTTAAACTTCCCCATCAGGACTAAAAAAGCTACGATGTTCACTTACAGCGGTTGCGCAGTCACTGCAGGAACTGTATTAATAATACGCAGATAAATAGGGCAGAGTAGAAGAGCACAGCGTTGCGTTTCCTCTTTTTATGATAGATGTTGCAAGGCAGCGTCGTCATCTTTTGAAAAAAATCTTTGTGTTGAAATGAGACATCCCAAATATATATTCAGTTTTTTTTATTTCACAAACTGAAGCCTAATTGTGGAGTTGTTGCAGGAGTGGGCGTGAATCTAGAAACAACATAGTAAAGATGCCAAATTCCTTCAGCGTAACTCAGAACCACTGAAATCGACTACAATCTTACAGTACGAAGAATAAGAACAGTACGAAGAATAAGAACAACATGCAGTGTAGATGATAGAATACTGTGATTTACAGGGTGTTGCGCCATTCAAGAAATCCTCCCTGAGTAATGAACAAACATGACCTTGTGTAACATTCCACTTTTACGGTTCGCACTCGACTACACCGACTGAATCATTTGCAACCACTCGTACTTGAACTGCGCTAGTAGAAGTGATGGACTGTACTACCTGCAATGCTTGCGAAACGAAGAAAAAAATTGGCAGCATGTTCACGGAGTGAATGATGGAGAGTGGGGCGAAGCATTCGTCCGTCCATTCATTCTTGCTTCCGTCCGTCCATGCGTCCGTCTGTGTGACCGTCCATGCGTCCATCCGCTCGTCCGTGTGTGCGTCTGTTCGTGCGTCCGTCCCCGCGTTCGTCCATGCATCCGCCCCTGCGTCCGTTCATGCGTCCATCTATGCATCTATCTGTGTGTCCGTTCGTCCACCTATTCAACACTCCAAGTACCACTATCTCGCATCTTTTCATCATATATTCCCCATATAGAAGCACCGCCATCCAGCGGTCATTATAAGGTCTAAACGAGAAATGGCACACGCACACTTTCTTGCGGCTTGCGCTTCGGGTCTACTTCCCACCTTTAACCACCTTGAATTCATGATATATACTAGTTCATTGTATTCATGGCACTGTGGCCCAACGCTCGCTAAACCTTTCTAAAACCAAAAAGGTTACGCCCAGCGAGTATAACATAGCAACATTTTTCTGTCAGATAATGTTCAATGTACATGCCAATGGCTGCTAATGGGAAATGAGAGACAGGAGAATTCTGCTTTTACATTCTTACGGCTTGCGCTTCGTATCTACTTCCCACCTTTAACCACCTCGAGCTCATTTATGGTATATACTAGTTCATTGTATTCATGGCACTGCGGCCCAATGCTCGCTAAACCTTTCTAAAACCAAGGAGGTTACGCCAAGCGAGTATAACGTAGCAACCTTTTCCTGTCAGATAGTGCTCAATGCATGTCAATGGCTGCTAATGGGAAACCAGAGACAGGAGAATTCCGTTTTTACTTTCTTATAGCTTGCGCTTCGTATGTACTCCCCCCTTTAACCACCTCGAGTTCATTCATGGTATATACTAGTTCATTGTATTCATGGCACTGCGGCTCAACGCTCGCTAAACCTTTCTAAAACTAAAGAGGTTACACCCAGCGAGTATAGAGTAGCAACCCTTTCTTGTCCGATAGTGCTCAATGTACATGCCAATGGCTGGTAATGGGGATCGCAGCGTGCGCGTTAACCAAAAACCGAATACTCCTGTCTCTCATTTCCCATTAGCAGTCATTGGCATGCACATTGAGCACTATTTTTATTGTTCAACAACGCACAGAAGAAATTTCTCACGAGCACCACCTTGAAGGTCAAAATGTTATACTTGTTACATACTACAACGGCTACGTGGGGCGAACGGGTGCCGT